GCCCCCTTATTTCAAAATTTTTTACCTGCTTAATGTTTAATATTTAGTCTAGAAATAAAAAATATTTTTAATTTTTTCAAAGTAATAGATTTAATTTATAAGATAATAAATGAATAACACCCTCAATTTTTTAATTAAAAAAATAGCTATAAGCAAAAATCCTAAGATAATTTTGTTGAAGAAAATTTCTTTTGGTGGGGGATTTCCGCTTACGGGTGTATATGTGAACGCACAGGTGGTGCGTGCGGGTACGGGTCGCTGGTGGACGTACGACCAATGCGGGCGCGCGTGGGTGCTGTGAGCCCGGTGCTGTTTAAGGACGGGGAAGGGTGCGGCGCGTGCTACAAAGTGCGGTGTGCGGATCAGTCCGTCTGTTCGAGGCGCGCCGTCACCATCATCGTCACCGACGAGTGCCCCGGCGGCTACTGTGCCTTCGGCCGCACTCACTTCGATCTCAGCGGAGCCGCTTTCAGCCGCATGGCCATTGCTGGACAGGGTCCCGAGCTCCGCAACCGCGGCGAGATCTCCGTCCTCTATCGCCGGTAATAGTATATCATCTATTGCAATTACTCATTTTCTCTGGAAGATCTCTTTTGTACAGTGTAACGGAAATTTTAATCATCGAGACTGCTTTCGGTGATGAAAGGTAAGCCCAAACGCAGGAGAAATTATTACGTGCGCAGTGCAGACGGGGAGAACCGTCCGCACACTAGTATAAAATTCAGCTAGGTACCATTCGATACCGCTAGGTACCACTAGGTACTGCTTGGTACCATATGTGTGTGCAGACAGTGCTCCTCCGTCCGCACTCCGCAACTAATATTTTTTTCCAAACGCAGAAAGGAGTTTCGATGATTACGAGTTCTATTTAAAATGTATTTAAGGGGCTTTTTTGCTGTAAATTTTAATTTGGTTAAATGGGACCCAATCAAGGGAGGGCAAGGAGGTTTTTGGGGTGGGCGTTTCTTCTAGATGGCAAGCCGCCAAACTCCCTTTCGTTGCCACCACCAACGGATGGTTCCCCGTAAAAAAGT